GGACCTCTTGATGGAACCATTTGTTGGGCCCCTTTTCCCATCAGATTTTGGAATGGGGAGATGGGGGGCGGTCTCCTGTTCCTACCTCCTTGCCCTAGGAGTGTTATGCTCCTAGGTCTGAAATGTAGCCACAAGTGATGTGTCCATGGGGATCTCCACTTGACAACTGAACGAGGGCATGGAGGTTGGGGTCCAGACCCGCTCTCTCTGGGTGCCTGGGGGACCTCTGGACAGGATGCAGTGCCTGCAGGGCTCCTGGCCTTGGCTCATGGAGGTTCCTCAGAAGTTGTGCTGTCCCCTGCTCCCTTTTCCCCCAGGCTGACCTCTCTGCTCTCATAAAGCTACCCTTCCCTTCCCTCCTTGAAATCTGATAATGAAACTAATACCCAATATTTTTGCCTCCAAGAGAGGCAGGAGATAAACAGGAAGGCATGAGGGATTAAGGTGTCCTTTTGAGGAAGGGGCTGGGGCCCAGCTGGGAGTGGGGTGACATCTTGGTGTGGAGCCGACGGACCCAGATGGGGATGCTTCGCCTGATGCATTTTTCCATTTGTGCAGAGAAAATAAAACACAGAGAAAAGAAAACAAGCCGTAAAATACTTTGCAGAAGCCTGAGCGTGGGCAATTGCCACTTGATGTCCCCTGACAGCTCCAAGAGGAGGTGGGAGGGAGGGGAGTCCTGCCTTTTGATGTTTGGCCTCTGAGCTTTCTTTTGTGTGACCGGTTGTTTGGGAAGAAACTTCTGTTGGTGTAAGGTGCATATGGAAGAAAGCAATCACCCAGGGGTCCCCCTTGGGGTGGGGAAGGGAGGTGCTGAGCTCCCTGGAGGGGCTCAGAGTTTCAGGCAGCTTCTTTGGGGGGTGGTGGTGAGGGACAGCTGGCACTGTCTTTACAGAGGAGGACATGGTGAGTGTCTGTCTCTGTGAAGGACCAGAAGATGCTGCTAGTGAGGCTCTTCCCAGTACAAGAGAGCCTTGAGGAAGCCAGACTTGAGTGATCTTTCCAGATGCCTGCACCTAGGCAGGTGTCCGAGGCCCCATGACTTCCGTGCCTGTAGGAAAGGTCCAGATTCTGTGCTGTAGTCCCTGCTCTTCCTTCCAGTAATGTGGGTCCTTTCCTCTGGGGTAGTGGGCCAGGAGCCAGAAGACCTGGGCTCTAGTCCTGGGCCCCCATTTACTGCCTTGGTGGTCCTGATAGGTCACTTCATCCTGAGCAGCCCCGAGCATCCGTGTGGCTGAGTGAGTCCAGAGGGACAGTGGACGTGCGTATGTATTCATGATGGTCCCTTGTGCTGGGGCAGAGGCGAGGCTGATCCAGGGGCTGGAGGTGCTGAGGGACCCTTGGTGAGGCTCTCAGGAGTCATTCTGTGGTCTAATTTGCCTTCTAGTTGCTTCCAGACTCAGGTGTGAACTGAACCTCTCTTGTGACCCCTCCCCCACAATGCCTCCCTATTAAGCCGTGTCTTTCTACCTCTTGCAAGAACATCTGAAGAAACTTGTAATGTCAGAGAGAAAAGTTAACGAGGCGAATGTATATTTTTTAATCACAAAAGTAATAAATGAATAAGAAGCTGGTACAGATTTATGCAGCTTGTATGGTAGAAAAGGCACATAGTTTTTAGTCCATCATTTATAAGAGCATTAGATGTTGTAAGAAAAAAAAAAACACCTTATTTGAAAAGTGGGCAAATGGCATGAACAGGCAGTGCACAGGGGGAAAAAAAAAGAGAGCGAGAGAAGTACAAAGAAAAACAAACACACGGAGAAATGTCCAACCTCACTGGTAATGAAAGACACACAAATTAAAATCGTGTGTGTGTGTGTGTGTTTTCCAGACAAATCAGCAGAGATGAAAAATAAAGAATTCCGATAGCGAAGGGGTAATGCTGTTTCCTTCCAAGGGCGTGGTGAGACAGTAGCTCTCAGATCCTGCTGGGAGGGACTGGAAGCTAGGATCGCCTTTCTCCAGGGCGATTTGGCAGTTTGGATCCTGAGTTAAAACCATGCAGATCCAGCAACTACCCTAGGCATGCCGTCTTGAGAAACTCCCGGGGCAGCGGCTGTCAGAGCAGAGCACAGATGCACAGGTCCAAAGCCGGTCACCATCGGTGTTGTGTGTTACAGTCACAAACCCGGAACAACCCAACTGCTCAACCCCCAGGGAGGCCCCGCTTTGAAATGCACCCGCTGGGGATTCCAAAGAGCCCATTACATGCACACGTACACAGGGGAGACAAGATGGCCTCTCTCAGTCATGCAGAACAATATCTGGCATTAAAAGATGTTCATTATTCCGGGAAAATAGGCCACGGAGGGAGATGCACGAGTGTGAGCCAGGTCCGTAGCAAAGTTTGACAGCTCCACAGCTGAGCAAACGTCAGTTAAAGTCTGCAAGGGATGACCCCTGTGTTCACCGTGGTTGCTGCAAATCTGAGTGCGTACCCCCCCTTTTCTGCTTTTGTTTATCAAATGTCTGGCACTGAGCATTTCTTTAGACATTCCATAAAACGCGATTCGAAACAAACTGAGCACAAAAGCAGGCAAAGCGTGCTGAGGAGGGAGCAGGAGTAGACCAGAGGGAAGCTGAGTTAGCCTAGAGGTCGGAGCCCACAGGAGCAGGTCACAGGCAACACGGGGTGGTCTGAGGGAGCCGTGTGGGATGCTCCAGGTGGGAGTGGGGGGTGGAAGGAAGGTGGGTCCAGGACAGACGTTGACACCAAGGCGTGGAGGATAAGAAGGGTGCGAGCAGATGAGGAGGGTTCTGGGGAGAAGAGAGTCCTCCAAGCCACAGAGGGGGGCAGGCGAGGGGTCCTCACCTGTGGTGTGCTCTAGAAACTGAAAAAAGTGGGGGACTACTCAAGCCTCAGAGCGGGGTGGGGGTAGGGTGAGCAGAGCTGAAGAAAGGGGTTGGGGAGAAGCAGGACCAGCTTATTCGGAGCCCTGAGGGTGTGACAGCTGATTGAGATTGTACCCAGAGGAAAAACGGGAGGGCCACGGAAAGACTTTCAGCTGGTGACGGACATCCTCAGACTGGAGCCCAGAATTCCTGCTCTGGTGGCTGTGGGAAGGGAAGCAGGGCCAGCAGGAGGGAAACCCGATGAGAGGGTGCCCGAGGGGAAGGCGGGAAGGAAACCCCAGTGCAGGCGGCGGGGACAGTCTGGTGGCCGGAGCTCGGGAGGGAGGGGACAGTGTGCTCCCGCAGAGCAGAACGCCCTGGAAATAACGCAGGAGTCTGCTCCCGCTGCCGTCTCCGGAAACCTCAGGCTGGAGGCTTAGCCGGTACACGTGTGTTTCTCGTGGTTCTGGAGGCTGGAAGTCCAAGGTCAAGGTGTCGGCAGAGTTGGTTCCTCCCGGGGCCTCTCTGCTTGGCTAGCATACTCCCTCTCCTCTGTGTGTGCGCCCCTGTGTGTGCAAACTGCCTCTTCTCATAAGGTGTCCTGTCAGATTGGAGGACAGCCCACCCTCGGAGCCTCGTTTTGATGTAATCAGCTCTGGAAAGGCCACGTCCCCAAACACAGGCTGTTCTCAGCAGCTGGGTGAGGGCCTCCGTGTATGAATGGGGAGGACAGACACCACCAGCCCCTCGCAAGCAGGATTGGGGCACGAGGAGGATGGCCGCCCCAGCTCCCAATTTTGAGGGGAGTGTGTGTGTGTGTGTGTGTGTGTGATGGGGTGGGCGGCCGGCAGCCTGGGGGATGGAAATGAACAGTCTTCACATGCGAGGGAAGCAGGGGGCTTGTCTGTGGTTCAGGTGTGGCTGGGCGGCTGGTAGGTGCTTCTGGATGCAAGCAGCGGAGCCGGGGGAGGCCGGGGACAGTCCCTCCTGCGGTCCAGCAGCGGAGCCGGGGGAGGCCGGGGACAGTCCCTCCTGCGGTCCAGCAGCGGAGCCGGGGGAGGCCGGGGACAGTCCCTCCTGCGGTCCAGCAGTGGAGCTGGGGAGAACCTGGGGACAGTCCCTCCTGCGATCCAGCAGCGGAGCTGGGGGAGGCCGGGGACAGTCCCTCCTGCGGTCCAGCAGCGGAGCTGTGGAGAACCTGGGGACAGTCCCTCCTGTGGTCCAGCAGCGGAGTTGGGGGAGGCCGGGGACAGTCCCTCCTGTGGTCCAGCAGCAGAGCTGGGGGAGGCCGGGGACAGTCCCTCCTGTGGTCCAGCAGCGGAGCCAGGGGAGGCCGGGGACAGTCCCTCCTGCGATCCAGCAGCGGAGCTGGGGAGAACCTGGGGACAGTTCCTCCTGCGGTCCAGCAGCGGAGCTGGGGGAGGCCGGGGACAGTCCCTCCTGCGGTCCAGCAGCGGA